CCCCAAAACCCCAAAACCCCTTCAATTCAAATTACAAATCCAAAGATATTTTATAGAAATATTAAAATCAAATATATTTTGTGAAGTTCAATAATAAATAGCTCTCCACGGGTACTTATTGCTAATTTTTCTTAAATAACTCCTGGTTAAATCAATAAAAAATATCTTCTTATTATAATCTAGCAAATATTATGCTGATTATTCCAGCCTCTTTACTATTGCCTAATCAGATTATAAGAATTATGGTAAGAGTTATCTCGAGACAAACTCTCTTATAGTTTTGTTATGAGCAACTGCTTTCAAGTAATTTGAAACTACTTCAATATCTTCATAATTATGATATGAGATCTGCAGATAACTGAGCTTTTGATATAATTTTGGTTCCTGTATTAGCTTGCTAAATTCTATTAAAAAACTATCAGTGAGGTAGCAATAATCTAGCTTTAGCTTTTCTAGTGAATTTAACTTTGAAAGAGTTTTAGCTAATCCAGTTTGATCTTTGATGATGTTGAATTTACACAATTAAAACGATAACTCTTTCACACTCTTCAAGCATTCCAGTGATTGAACAAAATCATCTAATATATGTATTTCTTCTTCTTGCAGAACAAAATTAGCGCTACTCATACTGAAATGAGTCAACTTGTTTTGATCAGAGATAAAGAACGAAATTAAATTCATTATCTTAGTAGCATCCATTTCTGCCCAAAATAATTCAAGGTACTAGAGATTATTGAAAACTTTAAAAAGTTTGAAGTTCACTTGACAATGATATGCCTCAAATTTATTCACATCTTTAAGAGTTGGGAGCATTTGTTCTATTTATTCACTCATTTTCGAGTTAATTCTAATTGTGCTAATTTAACAATTGCTTTTATCTTGGCAAAAGTTATCAAGAGTTTAGCAAAATTATTCAGAATAGATATCATTTCCATTAAGTATAAGCTTTTCTTTACTAAATTGCTTTGTAAAGTTGAAATCTAGATTTTAAACAATCGATTTGTCTCTATAAATGTTAAAATCCTTAATAGTCTCATGGTGCATGCAAATTTGAAATAGATCATGGTGATGTTCAGTAGAAAGTACAAGTTGAAAGACAATCTCCAAAAGTTAGTGCTTTGATATAAAATTGCTTAAATTGTACAAAGCACTGTCGTGGTATTTCTATTTATTAGAGAGATCGATTATATGGAATTTCTTAAGATTTGGATTCATCGGAATTAAGCAAAGCCATTGGATTATTTATTGGATCATCTTATCTCCATTGTACAATTTTAATTCTTATAAATTGCACTAGTAGTTATTCCACTCCTCAGAGAAGTATGTCAGCTATCCAATTGTATTCATGAATTCATATTTCACTTTTTAAAGTCTTGGCATATCAGCCATTATTCTGAAAAACAGATCTAATTAATCTTAGTTTGTGATTCCCCTCTTTACATTTTCTTGATCAAAACTTATATCTAATCTTTGTAGGCTTCTTCCAAACTGTAAATAATCTTTCATGAATTCAATTGTTCTTTTGTCAAAATACAGTCTTTACAATATCAATTCCTTCAGTTATTGAGACTTTAGAGCTGTCTCAAGAGCTTCACAATAGCCTTCATTCGCTAAATCAATATTGATATTTGTATTGAATACGTAGGTGTGTAATTTTAATGATTCAATTTTCATCTTTTTTTTGTTCTTTTAAAAGTACTCTGAGAATGGTTGATAAAGTAATTCGCAGTTACTTAAGAATATCTTTTTGCACTAAGTCAAACATCTAAGGTCGCAGAGTTACTAGGTAATTTATTCTTGATGCATCTGTGTAACTCTTTTCAATTCCACAGGATCCTAATTTTACTCATCTCCGATTCTGATCTACCAAAGTTTGTTTCGATTAATTATGATTGTATCTATATTGAAGTCAAGATTGTTGGGTTTTTATCTAAACATCTATTCAGCTTATTTAAGACATTCAAGAACATTATTTTCATATAGGACTAAAGCATAGTTATAGGTGCAATTTATCTTTCTCAGAGTTTCGACATCCTCTGAGTCTCCAAAAATAATCACATCTCTATCTTATTTTATAAAGGCCTTAATGATATACTCATCATTTAACATAGCGTTAGATTCCTTACACATAAGTTTGAACAAATTAAACACTTCATGACAGTAGAAGGCGTAGGAAAAAACTTCTGAAAGCACGTATTTGCTCTTAAAGAATTTAATTAGCTTAGTATTTTGGCACTCCATTAAATATATGAAAGTTTTTTAACATTTAAATTTAAAATTGTTTTGTTACAAAACATAAACCCAAACAATCTGTTTTGTAATTAATAAATCATCATCCTTCACTTTTAAATTAAATTCTGATGTAAGTCGGTAAATAAAGAAAAGACTCAGACAATAAACAACAAACATAGCTCTCGAAAAAGAAAAAGATCTACTCTAAGTTTTAATACAAGGATAAGGTATTTGAAATCGGAGATATCTGCAGGTTTTATAATGAGCAGCAGGACCTAATAGGAAAGATTCTATCGATAGTCTCAACAGATTAGAATCATCCAGATTTTGGAAAAATCAATGTTTAGTGGTAAGTTAGCCACATTCGTTGAGAAATATTAGGTATTACTACAAGAAAGATTTGAAGTTCAAAGGTTTGGGAATAAGTGAAAAAGATTAAAATTAGATATCAGAACAAGAAGTTTTCCCGACAAATCATTAGGACAAAGTGTATGTTCAAAGCTTGAACGGAAAATGTAAAATTGTTACGCTAGAAGAATTTGAGTAAAATCCCACTGTGACTCCAGACATTTTCTTTAGCAGAGCTGAATATGATCATATAAATAAGGTAACAAAAGATAATCACTATGATCTTTATATTTTTAAAATAGGTCCTAAAGCCAAGTTTTAATGACTGGCCGAAGATATGTTCTTGCTAAAAGCCATAGAATCCCTAGCAAACTTATATTTAGTGTGATGCTTGTCAATAGTGGTTCCATCCTGAGTGCTAAGATACAACAGTTGATATTGACAGTTTCATATGTATGAGCTGTACTTCTTAAAAATGACACTTAATTAATTTAAATAAGAGTATATCAATATCCATCTTAGAAATTAAAAGAAATTAAGATTAAAATTAAGTAAGAGCATTTACTCATTAAGTTCACTCCTCTTCAATGAGAATTCTTTTTAAGTAATCAATTTAAGGAGGCCTTTGTATAAAGTTTATAGCCAATTTCCCGCAAATATTCTCAGCCGTGATTGTCTCTCTTAGAGTAACTCCTATAATCTATGAAAATTTGTCAAACTCAGCCATTAATCTATTTATCCTTAAAATAAAGCCATTCTAATCAATGGTTGGATCATCTAGATCAAAGAAAATGTATTTATAACCTATGCAAGAGCAATTAGACTTTGGACCATAGGAATTTCTAATCAAATTTATTGCTGTTTCATCCTTTTAAGCTTCATCACATATAATACCAACTTAATCTTTAAATAAATCAAATAAGTCTGGGAGGCTATAGAGTAAAACTGATTTACAGCATTCTACTTTTGTTTATTCAGATATCTAGAGATCAGGGTAATATTCTTGACGGCTAAATCTTTTACTTTTAGAGTGATTACTCTAAAACCTTTTATCCACTACTAGTTAATTGGAATCTTCTAAATCGAATTCTTCATCATCTTCTTCCTCTTCATTGTGCTCTCTTATAACATCTTCCTCTGCTAGTTCCAATTAATGAGCATCATTAAAGATCTCTCTGGAATATCGAATCTTAGATGGAGTGGAAAAATTTGGTAGCTCTGTCGGGGTGATATTTTCTAACTATTCCTCTAGTTATGGTGTTGAACTTCTATTTTAATTAGGCAATTAACTTCCCAAGTTTTCTAGACTCTCAGTGAATAGGACATTGCTTTTTATTAACGGGAACGCGACTGAGTACTTGCTACCTTTAAATGCATTAAAATCAATCCTCCAATTCAGAGCATTGCAAAGGATTTTGGCAATTTTCAAATTTATTTCTACCTTAGCAGCAATAAGCTTAGGGAAATCAAATAACTAGGTGAATCTCCAAATTCTTTAGTTATTTTCTTTGTGAAAATTAAATTTTGAATTATCAGTCTCTACTTTAAGGAAAGGCATAGAGTCTTAGTAAAATCTCTCGGCTTTAATCCTTACTATACCTTTTTAGGTACCTGATATACTTTACAATAAAAGATTTAGTAGGATTTATTTGAATTTAATGGCATCTCCAAATGTAATGGTGGGTAAATCATTATCATAGAAAAAGCTTAGCTCTATACTCCGTTTCCTAAGATCTGTTTAGGTTACATTAATCACTTCATGTATTGATTATTTGATATTAAAATGCTTCTTTTCTGATTCAAACTTATTCTCAGATACGTTATACACCTATTCAAAGTCTTTAATTCTGAATAGCATCTTTTTAAGTTCATTTTAAGCCTCTTAGAGCACCTATTTCCCCTGTGGTTTAATATTCTACTGCAAATTATCTAAATTTTTAAAGGCGTGTTCTGCGTATTCTTAAATCTGTTTCATGAGCTTATCTGTGAACTTTGACATGTCTTATTTTGATTACATAATCTACTCGAGATATACTAGATGAGAAACATCTCTTACTATCAAAAGTTTATCTCTTGCACCGGCCACATTCACATTAACTTGATTAAGTGTAATATACTTCTTTGAGCTAGAATTTTCCTCGTCATATTGAACTGACCTTGAAGTGAGTTCAAAAGTTCCACCTTTTTCATTTTTCGCAAGGAAAGTCCAAACATTTGAAGCTTGGTTCTTTGGTTTCTCTCTTCCATAAGAATAAGGTTTAATCTTAGTAGCAACTAACTTTCTCTGCAACTTTAAATTTTTAGGATCGTTTGTCAGTTCTTCATTAGTTTAAATCTCAAGCATATGTAGAAGGTTTTGATTTGAATATAAAATGTAGTTATTCCTAATTAGAGCTATTCCCTCAATGAAAGTTTCAAATATCTTTAGCCATTTATGAAAGGCTTTATCAGATTCCAATTTACCTAGAAAACTTTATTTCGCACGAATTTCCACTATATATGCTGTTACAGCATAAGCTATAATTGTGTATATAGATTTTATGATCATATCATGTCTAGATTCCTTAAGGACCTCATAGCAAATTTACTACAAGAATGTTATCAAGCATGGTATGTATATCATTGTAGATATTATCCAGGACTCATTGAAAAGTACCATTATCAAAAATGAACTTGTAAATGAGATAATCATACTATATTAATGGTTACTTATAAATTACACTTACTTGAAATTGAGCATTTACAAAGTTTAGGTAAAATCCTGAAAGGTGTAATAATAAAAAGTGATAATTGTCAGCAGAGGGCAGATAAAGTAGCAGACTAAGTATATTTTCATCCAAATGAGGACACTGAATGACACGAGAACAGCAAAGAAAACCCAGTTCATGACAGATGTCGAAATGTGTATGTCTTCTAGATCATTTGCTCTGAATAAACCATCAATTAAAATGGCCATCATAAAGTTTAAAAATGCTAGAATAGGTATAGCCTTCTTGTAAAACTCAATCTTCTCAAATTCGTAGAAATTTTAGAGATCAGAATCAAAAAATCTTAAAAGAACTCTTGAAAGCATGTTCAAAAAATTAAATTATACTAAATGTTATTATTCTTATCCGATTGAATTTATAGATAAAACTTGCAGGGGTTTTGGGGTTTTGGGG